AAATGAGAAAGACTTGAGAATTAAGGTATTAAGAAGTGACCATGGTGGAGAGTTTCAAAATGAATGGTTTGAAAATTATTATGAAGAAAATGGTATTTTGCATAACTTTTCTACACCTAGGACTCCCCAACAAAACGGTGTAGTAGAAAGGAAAAATAGGTCACTAGAGGAACTTGCTAGAACAATGTTGAATGAATCAAATGTTCCTAAATATTTTTGGGTTGATGCTGTAAGTACTGCATGTTATGTATTGAATAGAATGCTTATAAGGTCAATCATAAAATTAACTCCTTATGAACTGTTGAATGGTAGAAAGCCTAATGTTGCTCATTTGAAAATATTTGGATGTAAATGCTTTGTTTTGAATAATGGAAAAGATAACTTAGGAAAGTTTGACTCAAAAATCGATGATGGCCTTTTCTTAGGTTATTCACTAACTAGCAAAGCATATAGAGTGTTTAATAGAAGAACTTTAAATGTTGAAGAATCTGTAAATGTCACCTTTGATGAAATTGTAGACCTTGAGGGAAATCCTCTTGAGTCAAATAAAGAACTTGCAGGTGATGATGAGTACATAAGAGAGGCTCTAGTAGAAATGTATTTGAATGAGAATGAGTCTTCTCAACCAATTGAATTAGCAAAAGAGTGGCAATCACCAAGAGGACACTCAATGGACAATATAATTGGTGATATCTCAAAAGGGGTAAGAACTAGAAATATGACAAATTTCTGTATGTCTGTAGCTTTTGTTTCACAGATAGAACCCAAAAGTGTTGAAGAAACTCTTAAAGATTACCAATGGTGCATAGCAATGCAAGAAGAACTTAATCAATTTGAAAGGAATCAAGTCTGGGAATTAATTCCAAGAGAAGAATCTCATCAAGTAATTGGAACAAAATGGGTATTTAGAAACAAACTTGATGAAGATGGAAATATAACAAAGAATAAAGGCAAACTTGTTGCCAAAGGTTACTGTCAAGAGGAAGGTATTGATTATGATGAAACTTATGTTCCTGTTGTCAGGTTAGAGGCTATACGCCTACTTCTTACTTATGCCTCATTGATGAAATTTAAATTATATCAAATGGATGTTAAAAGTGCTTTCTTAAATGGGTTTATCAAAGAGGAAGTATATGTGGAACAACCCCCTGGATTTGAAGATTTTAATTATCCCAATCATATTTTTAAATTGAAGAAAGCGTTATATGGTTTGAAATAAGCTCCTAGGTCTTGGTATGAAAGATTAAGTAGTTTTCTAACTTCAAATGATTTTTCTAGAGGAAAAATTGAGTCCACTTTGTTTATTAAGAAAGTAAAAGAACATATCTTATTAGTTCAAGTATATGTTGATGATATCATTTTTGGATCAACTGATAATTCTTTGTGTGTAGAATTTGCTAAGATAATGCAGGAAGAATTTGAAATGACAATGATGGGAGAATTAACATTCTTCCTTGGACTTCAAATTAAACAACTTAAAGATGGCATTTTTCACCCTCTCTGAAGAATGACATCACGAAATCATCTGTCGTATTTCGGATGTAGATGATAGGGTTTGTAATTTAGAGGATAGGTTTGCCGCTCAATTCAATAGCGATGCAAGTGAAGAGTTTTAATTTCTTCCACATATCTCTTTGTTTGTAATAACTTTAATTTATGTAATAAAATTGTTTTTTTTTTTTACTTTGTTTGAGGGGGAGTTATTTTCTAAATTATGCACTTATTGAGGGAGAGTTTTCATTTTTTTTTATCATAATCAAAATAGGGGGAGAAATTATTTAAAGCCTCTTATGTTTGTTATGTTTATTAAATTTAAATGTTGTCTGGTATGTTTAATGTTTTTGTTAGCTGTGATAGACAAAACAGGTTATTACAAGGGGCTTTAAAGGAAATTTTGATCATCATAAAAAAGGGGGAGATTGTTGAAACATACAAGGATATGAATGTTGAACATACATGGATATGAAGCTTGTAGATTTTGATGATGATTCAAGAACAAAGGTCTTAAAGATTTGAAGACTTGTAATATTATGTAATAACTCTGTTTTTATGTTTTTGAGTCTGTAATATTAGAGTCCAAGATAGTCAGCATATAGTCTACTCTTTAAAGGTTCTAAAAACTCATTTTTATCAAAAACATACTGGATTAATCGATTAAATGGCAGGATAATCGATTATTACAGAGAGAAAAATCATTTTCAGCATCTGCTCTCTGGAATAATCGATTAAAGCCTCTATTAATCGATTAAAGCCTCTGTTAATCGATTAACAGGGCTGTTAATCGATTAATTACTCATTTAATTGATTAAACTGAGTGGTTTTGGGTTCCAGGTGAATTTGGCTCTGGAATAATCGATTAACACTCAAGATAATCGATTATTTCAGTCATATATGTATTTTGAATTTCAAAATTGGACCAAGTTTCGAAAACCCTATTCCCAATTCATCTGTTTTGAAAATCCCCAATTCCCAAACCCTAATCTCTCTACTTAAGGTTCTCTAAGGCTCTCTGCAAAGTGAACAACATTTTTCAAGCAAAAGTTGAGAGCTATGACTGCTAGAGAGCTGTTTGTTGGAGGAAAAAGGGGTTTTTGAAACCTAGTGTGGGCTAGAAGCGATAAGAATCACTGAGTGGGTTTTCTTAGTGGATTGTGTGTTGTGCCGTCTCTAGGGAAAACTGTTCTTCATCCTTTGTGGGATTCAAAGGAGGTGTTCATCTCTTGTGTGACTCAAGAGAGGTGTATTCTTTACCTTATCTTTTCATTTGTAATCTGATTGTATAAATGTGATTATAGTGACAACGTTAATCCTCTGTTTGAGTGATTAGCAACTGGACGTAGGTTCTTTTAATCCGAACCAGTATAAATCGACTGTGTAATACTCTATCATTGCTCTATTTACTTTATACAGCATTTTAATTAGTGAAATTTGAAAAAAAAATTAAAACCCTAATTTTTGTTTAAGAAACCAATTCACCTCCCCTCTTGGTTTTTATCCGTAAACGCAAACATTCCGCTGCAAGATTCTAACACTTTGCATATTTACTTTTTAGTAATTTACTTTTGTAGTTCTTTATTATTCTTGCAATTTATTCTAAATGTTTCAAATTGGATTAAATATAAAAATTGAATTCGTACAATCTTTGATTGAATTTTCTGTGTACTAAACTTTGAATAAATTTAAGAATCCACATTGTATCTAAGTGATTCATCGCGTAAATTTGTTAGTTGAACAAGTAAATCATTTACACTAAAAACAAATCTATTAATAAATATTTAAATAAAAATAAAAATATGTAAAATAAAAATACTAGTAATAGTTAAACCAATAATAAAAATATTTATTTATTTGTTTTTAAATTAAACAATCTTTAAAAATAATTTTCATTTCATTGTTTTCAAATAAATTATCTTTTATGTTTACAAATGATATATATTCATCGTATAACGAAATGGGGGTGGACACTAACATGACTAACAACCAGGGGTGAATGAAAGAAGGGATTCTCAGGGTCATGGTGCCCAAAAATTTATTTCTTTAAGACTTTATTAATTGTGGTCCCATTAAAAAAAAATTGTATATATTGATTGATTCATTATGATTATTTTTCTGGTTCGGCTAACAATAATAAGATGAACTATGAAAGACTCCCTATTTTTTTACACCAATTTTAAATTTTCTTCAATTTAAGGACCAAAGAAAACAAATATACTTTGGAAACCAAATTAGTCACATGTCCCAAAAAATAATTAGGAAGTTAAGCTTGTTAAAATTATAATTCTTTAATAATTTTCGGTTAAGAAGAAAGAAATTATTAAAAAGGGAGATTAAATTAGAATCCCATAAGTTGATGCAGTAAGTTATGGGAACATGTACCGGAACACACAAATATCAATAGGATCTAATAATATTGTCTCTTTTTTATTTGTTTTTCCATGTTTAGTTTATATCTCTTGACATTGTTTATATATGCATATTACATGAATTTATCTCTCTTGATTTATTGAAATAGAGAGATGTAAAAGAATAAAATATAACAACTAGTTTAGTTTTAACTGAAACAAAAATAAACAAATAATAAGAAATTGTTTTTGTAGAAAAGAAACATAAAAAACAATACTAAAGAACTCTAGATGAAGTATAAATGCCAAATGCGAAGAAGCCCAACACCTACTAAAGAGGACCATGGGAGAAAGAAAAACTCATGAGATAGGTGAAATTCCAAATCCCACGAGCCTTTTCTCCTTTCTATTTAACCTATGGAGCACGCGAAAGATCCTCATGCCCAAACGCAGGACAATACTACTAAACAAGCTCAAAAGCAATAAATATTGAATATTTCAAACAGGCCAGATGGATATTTCAAAAGCCCGGATGGATATTTTCTTAGAAAACATTTAAATAAATTCGAAAACTAATATTAAATCTCCACATACTTTCACCATTGTACCAACAAAATTATAACACAAGGCAATATAATAGGTTCAAACTTAGGACAGTTTTATACAGCAATGATCACCTTAAGTCAAGCAAGCAAAAAACACTTTATTGAGCAAGCAACTTTTTTAAAAACAAAAGTTAGTAGAGTTCATACATTTATGAATATAGGTGATTCATTGTGTTGTGCGGAGATTTTCATGAATTCAAATTCACCGGAAAGATACAGAGTTTCTTTGAGGGAAAAAAAAAAAATCAATGCAGTAGGATTATATAGCGAACATGCATGCTAATAAAAAAAATGGGTCAGCATGCTGGCTCTTTGAAACTCATCTACTTCTACCCTTCAGGCCATGTTCCCTATTTTTCACGCTTACTTTTTACCCTACATTATACAAAAAGAAAGAGACATGGCTTGGCTGACGCCCAAGACCCATCCACAACCCCACCCATACTACGCGGGAAAAAACAAAAGAACAGAACAATACGATGTTACAGCGTGAAACATGCTAAAAAAATGAATAAATTACCAAAAATTAGTTACAACACCAGATCAAATTCATTCATTCTATAGTCTGCTGCACTGTCTTCTCCAGCATTGATGTTTTATTGAAGAGGGTTAGCTGAACCTCTCTGAGATGTTTGGATAACTGCCCAAGAAAAACAAAAGCTTAATTGTTAAATGCTAATTGATTTCTGTAACAATTTGTTCAAAAAATTCCAAACTCACCATGACCACAGCCATGTAGTGTCGGTGAATAAAATGTATCACTAACGTGTTACTCGTTAAGAAATCAATAAACAATAAGTTTTGATTGAAAATTATTGTAGTAGTCCATTTGCAACACACTAAAAAAAAAATCAACTTTTTATGCAAGCTCTGACATATAAACAGGTCATATTTTAGTTAAGTTGGTCTTCTTTCACAAAACTTGTATCTTTGCACATAATTAACAGCTAACACATTGCAGTGGTTGCTAATAGTCTAACACATGAAAGAAGAATTCACACATTTTAATTTTAACCTGTTCAGTCGATTCAGCACATAGGTAACATCTTACTTTGCTAGGTAAACAAGTAAATGTGGAACTACCTGATCTTCACTCATCTTTCTGAAGCCCAATTTCTTAGTCCAAATTGACTCGGCATCTCCTGCTGCAGGAAGCACCAGCTTTTCAACTTTTAGAGAATACAGCAACCTCTCTATGCAAGAGAACAACACTTGGAAATAACCCTAAATGGACATATAACAAGTTATGAAACTTATCCATACAAAGCAGCATCTTTGAAAGATAAACAAGTATTATCAGAATACATTTATCAAGCAACTTTAGATTTTTGGTCATGCATGAATAAGTTGCTTACTTTTCCTTGATGTACTCTGCTTGTAGCAACCAGTGGAAGCTCAGCAACATTACGGCCAAAAATCCTCAGAAGCCCAGCAGATACTACAACAGAACTGTACAAGTATGATACATACAATGTCAATACGACCAAATAGAAGCACTATCAGGAAAATACGGAAAGTGGAGGCAGCAACATACTTCACTATCAAAACAATGCAATACATCCCCCCAAACTCTTGGCCAGAAATATTTCTCCTGCACGAATTCAAAATAGAATATATTACCAGAAAAAATGAACTATGACATATTGAATATTAGATAGAATGCTGCGGATGCAATACAAGCGACTAACAATCATTTACAACCTCTTGTTGACGCATGCATCACCAAGTAACTTGTGCCCAATAAAAAATCATACCAAGACTTTAAGTCAATCATTCAATATAAATTCAAATGTTATAAAGAACTTCAAAACAAATACTGTTTGTAATAGATAAGTACAAATTTAATTCACCTTAAAACATGTCCTGAGTTCTAATGCAAAGAAAGCTCAAAGAGCTTACACAATAGTTTACCATCAACAAATAATTATCCACGGGGAGAATGGGAGAGAGTGATGTAGAGAAATTAGCACATTCATCATAATTTAATATTCAACCTATACTGGTGGCAGTCTAGTCTAACACTAGGAAGGAAGCACAATAATATCAAAGGCTGCACAAGCAGAAATCAACCAGTGATCTGCAATAAAATAATTAATATTTGCTTACCCATAGACCATAACAGGAATCAGATCACGACCAGATACTGCAACAATGGGATCAAAACATTCCTGCCAAAGCATATTCCCAAAGAATGAGAAGTGAATTATGTATAATAGACAATTTCAACGTGCCTGAATACCCAACACATAACAATCAAAAGGTAGATGATGAAATAAAGTTAGAGCAAGAAGATTATTTTCAAAATGCACGAAATCTGAAAGCATGCATTTCTCAACATTCAAAGGTTTCAACCTAAAAGTTGTCAGCAACCTGATGGCAACAACCCCCACTCCCAAAAAAACCACCACTGTCTTACCAAACATGAGAACCAACAGGCTGTGTTTGGACCGATTATAAAATTGATTGAAAATGACTGGGTTTGATGTACAAATCAATTCTCATTTTCAAAAAGTATTATAAAATGAGACTTCAATTAATTTACAAATCAATTTCCATGTTTGAAACGTAATAAAAATGAACTGAATTGACTTTATCTTCATTATTTACTTGATTACCCTTATTAAGAATGATTAAATAATTTGTAAGAACAAAATGTTAATTCCAACAAATGAAATCAAATTCCAATCAGACACACTCAAATAAAACTAGTTAAACGGATTATTATTTGAACATAGCTAAAAAAAATCCATAACCAAAAGAATTCCTATTTTATAAAAAACAAAGTGTTTGATCAATAAAACAAACCATATCATGTAAGTAAGACTCAAGGAATCAGGTTTCAAGAGACTAGGTTACTTTTTTGTCATGCACGTGAAGAAAACACAATGTATACCAGCTTCCTATATGAAAGGGAAATTTTCTTATCAGGAAAGCCAAAGTTACGGCACAGTTATCATTAATATTACAGCATTTAAACTAGACCTGTTCTTTATATACTTCAACAATTTGAACTGTTTCATAAAGGTAAGCTAGGAGCAGATAATACAACCGACAAAACATGAACAAATATGAAGTATCAACAGCATATATCATATCACAATTAACATACTTGGAAGCCATAATTACTCACTCGAAAAATGGCAGCAGCTCGTGAAAGTAACGGTAAATGTTCTGGATAACGACTTTTTCCACTTAAAATTCTCCACTGGATATCATTCTTGGAACCATAGGTAGATAATCCCTTCTCCTCATGCTTCCTGATTATTAGTTCTGACAAGGTATGTGGTATAATGTCTGCTCCAGCAGAAACTGAATTCTGTAGAGCCACATATATTCGATTGCAGTCATCACAACAAAACCACTTATCCTTGGGCAGCTCCTGTTGTAAGATATGACGATGAAATATTGAAAACAAATGAAAGTATCATAAATATATTTGCTAAAGGCCCAGTGCTTACTTCCAACTCACAGAGCCCAATGTCCCGCAGACAGCCAACATGATACTCCTTCTCACACTGGTTAACAACCAAAAATATTGTTAACTTTATAAAAAAGAAACAGTTCAATACAAATGCCGTCATGCATAAATCATACCTGGTCACAAATTATTACTGTTCGCTCATCAAATTTAGCAACACTGAAATCATGTTCCCTATTGAGAATTAGCACATTAGTATAATATTAGTGCTAAAGCAAAGCTTAACAGCAAAGAAATAGAATATGTGTGTATACAACAAATAATTAAGATACACGAGTACAATAAAAATATCATTAAAAAAAATAACAATAAAACCCAAATTGTAAAATTCAAAGGCTGTTTAATATAATCTTCATCAATCCTAATATCATACAGTGTAAAGAGGTCAAAGCAATGCATTTATACGAAATGCAGTGTGGTCAATTCAATGGCCTATTACCACAATCTCCATTAATATTGTGTGCTACTGAACCACTTGATAACCAGAATCCAAAATCTTACTTGAAACACCCTCATAGAGTTCTCAATAAGTGATTGTTTTGATAAATTAATTTAAAGATAAGCAAACCATGTAACCTACTTGCAAACAACACATCCGCCCATTTCAAATTCTGGTGTTTTATCAACCCGTGTCAACCGGATCATAATTGGCCTCACAATAGAAGATTCTCTTCCATTACCAGCATTATCTCTACAATTTAGACATTGCCAACCACTGTCTGGAACACACTGGAAACCCAAGCAGGCTGCAATTGAGCCAAAAAATGACAAATATTAATAAATCCTGTCATTTTACTTCAAAACCAGTTTATTTTCTCATCCTAATTTTACAGTATCTGCTACAACGTAACCTAGGCATGATAAAGTATTGAACAAAACATGCTAGCAAGAGAGACCATGCAATACGATCTATATGTGGTACTCAGCATATGAATACAATTAAAAAACCTTTCTTACAACATGTAAACAATCAACAACATCACTCGTCATCCAAATTATACACAGGGTAACAGTGAATATATTTCCTAATATAATGAAAATAAAACTTCAAGTATATTAAAAACATGAAAAATACAAGAAAACCTTACAATATCTGTAAATAATTAATAACTTAAATAGTACAATTTGGCCACCTGCATGAAAGGCCCTAGGGCATCCGTTACAAAGAATCAAATCTCCTCCGTCTCCACATACTGCACACATATCATCACTGTCTCCCGTGGTAAGGTTTTGACCATTTGCCAATGAGAGAGCTATATCATGAAGTGTTAATCCATTGGACGTATATATGTGTCTATAACTGCAGAAGGAAAATTATTTCAAGATAAAGAAAAATAGAACAAACTATTTAGCTGCTTTTAAATTCTACTCACGGTTGCCTCCTAGCAGCCATTCCAGCGTGGGCTTCAAACTGTGAAGGGCTTATCTGTTTACATACAAGTACAAATAGTAAAAGCTAAAATTAGCATTTATTTATGTTTATAAAAATAAAACATTTTGTGCACACAGTTACCGTACCTCGATATCACAACAACCACAGACTATACCGCATCCCTGTTTGTAACCGCCAAGTAATTTCTGAAAAACACATCAGACATGTCATATATTGAATAGCATATAAAACAAGTACGCACCCCACATACAAAAATGAAAAATATTTAAATAAAATATTCAGACACCTGTCCTTTGACATAATAAGCCAACTCAGCACCATCAGGTAGCCCATTTGGCATGAAGAGTAACCTATGTAAATCATTGTCCCTGATAAAAGCAAAAAACCAAATTCAAACAGAAATAGCTAAATTCAAATGGAGAAGCTCGAGAGAACAAAAGAAACCAAAAACAGACATCCCCAAAAAACAAAAATATGTACCTTCTCTTGGTACAACCATCAGCATTCCTTTTCAGCAGTACACCAGAGTTAGAAGTATAAGAGCTTGATCTACAGAAAAAAAGTGTGCTATAAATAATTGAATATCAAGGAAAGGTCTATAATTAAATCAACCAAGTAACCTTGTACATATGCAGACTGCTCAAGCACATTATCAAGTTATGGGTAGTAATTGAACCAAGAGAGAGGACAAACTTTTTCACCACTCGTTTCCATTCGTCAGTTATCTGATTCATATACTTGTGCTGCTCAAAATGACTTGGTGGATGCAAAGATGACAAGTGGCTTGAACTATCTACAGATTGACTGGAACAACAATTTAATAGGTGTCTTGTCAGTCTTTAAAAAAAACAAAATTGAGCCAATATTCATAAGCATAATGACAAAAGAAATTAATATATGAACATTTGACAGAAAAGTAAAATTGAATTTAGAGTTTCCAAAATTAAAAGACAATTAAATTTGTTGCACTCAGATAACAGGGAAACCCAGTTGAAAACCAAATTGTTTTCATTTACAAAACCCAAGAATTTTGAAATCTGATTAAGTTTCAATTCAACATACAAGCACCACAATACCCATATCCTGAACGCACTGCCTGTCAAAGCATTAGGGATAAATAAACTATTTGTTTTATTCTTCAGGCTACGAATAACAAGGCTTTATTCTTGATGTACAAGCAAATGACTAGTTCGCTTGCTTTAGTGATGTGAAGTAAGATAAAGGCATCACAGAAACAAAGCCTAAGATGTTATTCTTGATTAAGAGGGTCCATTGAACAAATAGATCAATATTTGTCATGTCATGACATTTAGAATAAGTTTCTTTTGATATTAATATACAAATTGATGGCAAGAGCTACTTCTAGTGTGGAAAAAATCAGACATGTCCATTCACCATAGAACTCTTAATTGAAAGTTGCCAAAATCTAAACTAAAGGTGAATAAGAAGGAGAGAATGCTTGACGCTTTACTTTAGGGCTTATTTTAGATTTACCTTATGTTTGTATGAGACATGCCAACGAGTTTGGTGCTACAATTTTTATGAGCCTGAACCCTGCCGTTACTGTGGAGAAGACTCTCTGCAGAACCCATGGCAAAGAAAATATATGTATAAGAAAAATCATGACCTAAATTGAAGCAAAAAAAACATCTCTTACTATTTGCCCAAAATGTCCGCATCCATATGCTTAAAGTGTCTTACCGTGCAAGTTGCAGCAAACAACATGAATGGGTTACTCTATATTTTAAATCATTATTCAGTTCCCGGATGCTTTACAATGAAAACTGTTGTACAAAACAATTCACAAGCTTGCCAAACAGCTTAACTTCTAGGGAAGTTTGAGAGATTGCTAATATACTCTTCCTATAGGATTAAGACCATAAGCCTATCATGATTACCTCTAACACAATAAGGAGAAAAGAAACTGCTTACGTACACATTTATTGTACCTGTTAATAAACCACCTAAATTATGGTCATACCTAGCCTGCTTTGGTTGTGACCTGGAGACTACTTTAATCACAACTTAAAGAAAGGTGATTTAGTCCCACATTGACTAGAGATAAGAATTGAATAAAATTTATAAAGCTTGGGTAATCCTCACCTTTCAACTGGTTTTGGTGCTATGGAGTTAGGTTTTAAGACCAATTTCGAAGGTAGTATCAAATCATATCCTAGATGCATTGTTGGGCCACTTGAATTTGTCACTCTAGACAAGAAGTCTTGGGCATGTGGGAGATTGTCAAAAAGTCACCTTAATTGCAACTACCCCAGTCTGGCTTAGTTGTGACCTCTTTAAGGTTTGTCTTAATTGCTGTGCCATGGGTGATGTTTTAGTCTGACGGCAACTAGAGATATGACTTTTTAATATAACTTACAAAGTTTGGACAGTCCTCACCTCAATCGGTTTTTTGAGTAAAGTAAGACACTTCGACCAATTTCCAATGACTTTAAACCCGCATTTTTTGTACCCCCTCCCATCTCAAAGTAATTTTGCTAAGGTTTTTGCATAGTGATAGAGTAAGTTAATAAATATTCTTACCCTTTCGTGCCATTAATGCCTTCTTCCATTGAGATAAGAAATGATTGTAAACTTTCGAGATAAGCTTTACAAAACATAAATCCCACCATATTAAATACCATAACATGTGGGATATTAAAAATATAGAAGACCATAGTGTAGCAGAAATAAATATATTGAAGCAGACGATGGAAATGGAAATATGCATTATAATCTTCAAATAAAAAAAATATAAGAACTTAACAAGGTGTTCAAAGGAAGGTGAGTGAATTTCAATTTTTCATAGAGAGGAGGGATTCACCCAGAGCACATAAATCCTATTTTGAAAGACATACAATCAACATGAACCCAAACCAATAGGCTTCCACAATGCATTTATAAGCACAGAAACGATTCTCACCTTTCCAAACCTGGAAAGACTCCTCATTCACAGATGAACCAGCCACACTCTTTATAACCTCATCTAGTATACTGAGTGGAGCAGTTTTTATTTCCTGTATAATACTATATATCGGTCTTCCATTTTCTAAGAATATATGATTATTTGGATGTCTTGTCTTGGCTCCAGCATGCTGCTCAAACTCATACGCACTAAGAACCTGAGAAAATGATAAAATTAGCAATCTTGCAAATACGGAACAAAAATTCCAAAAGTAACGAGAAATAAAGTATATGTCTTACTCTAGAGTAATTGCACATTGAACAGCCACACAAATAACCACCACCATCAATAATCCCCTGTAGCTCAACCTGAAAACAACTTCAAAACATCAGAAGAAACCAAGCATGAGTTATATGAAAAAGACATCGAATGTTAGCTTACCTTTCCAGGATTGTAGATATACTTCACTACAGCTCCGTCCAGGATGCCAGTTGATAAAAGCTTTTTGACATTTGTAGGGTAGCAGTTGGGAACTACTTTCTTGGACATTTTCAATTCCATATTGCGAGCATACAGGTCCAAATCTCCATCACGAACATATCCCATTCCACATGGGCTTTCTACCAACCCACCACTACAATCGTCCCTTGCCAAATATTCATCAACCCCATGAAAACCAATGTGATTGCCATCAGTATAATGAGCAGAACGTTGCACAGGAGCAGGTGGCTGGTAACCATAGTCCTCCTTCTTTTTACTGAACTTAAAAGTAATTTTCCTGATCCCAGATGAACTAGCATGCTTAGGGATTTCCATCACAACACAGGATGTCATTGCAGCACTACTCGTGTCCTTATCACACTGAGATTTATTATTATTATTATTGGTAGTAATAGTAGTAGTAGTATTCTGTTCACCGGCTTCATCACTCAAGGTCTCGTCAGAACTTGAATTCTCCAAACAAGTAGACGTCAGTTCACCACACTCTGCATGATTAACATCCGTGGATATAGTTGGTTGGCTACTGATATCTTGAAAAGTTAGCGCATGCTCTGCAGCAGTAACGTTGGGGTTAGAAACCTCAGAGCGCACTTCATCGTTGGAAACTTCTTTGGCTTGTTTCTTATGAGGAAACAGATGACGCTCGGCATCAGTAACGCATTGGTCGTAGTCACGCTTCAGTTCCGTCCTTGGTTCCTCATTGTTTTCCTTCCTTCCTTCTTCTAATGCATGGACACAAACCGCTTCTTCTCCCATCAAAGTCACAGAACAGAGCCCCTGGGCATCCAAACGTGGAAACTACCAGAAAAACAACAGTACTGCACAGCATTCAAGAAGAAACTGGAACCGAACTTGAACTCCCACTCGAATTCGTGTCAAATCAACGCCTACGCACAAAATTCAGACTTAGAAAACAGTTTTCAATCTATTCGCGGCTATGCACAACGGAAAACACTAAAATGGAAACGGAAATGGAAATGAAAAACAACAATAACAGTCATGAATCCAATCCACGCGTCCAAAATAAGTTCCGAAACGGTTATTTAAATCGACAAAAGGCGCTTAACCGTTCAATTCATTCAATTTGCACAAACAAAAAGAACGACAATAACCAACAGTGACAAACCTACCTCAAACCACAACACGAATAAAGAAACGTAAAGAAAAACTCAAATCCGATTAACCACCAATCCCTACAAACAAAAGCAAATCGAAACATACGCTAGAAGCGCCATGAATCGAGTTTTCAAGTAACAGATCTGAGATTGACGAAGAGCAGTGAGCTCCGCACTTGACGAGATTCGAAACAGGGAAGTGAGATTTGAGAGTGTTAGGGTTTGGTTTGACAGATAGGAGAGAGCGAAAGCTGAGAGGGAGGCAACGAACTGAAGCGAAAGGCTTGGTTCGCGGTTGAGATTTCAACTTTATGGAAAGCAGAGGGAGCAGAGGCGATGAGTTTCGCAAAAAAAAACTGTCCCAAAAATAAAATAATAAAATAAAAAATAAAAATTGTCGTCACGATCTTTCGGAAGAGACGAGAAGACAAATGGATAAACGTGATGGGACCCACCACAGTTGGGCCTCTTATGTTTCGCTACGTGGCATCGCTGAGATCTAACGGCGGCCCTCCTCAGCCGTTTTTCATGAAGTATCGTGCAAGTTAACACGTGTAACGAAGGTCATCAACTTATAAGCTAAGAAAAAATAAATAAAGAAATAAGAAATGATGCATAGTTGGACTGGATACTTAGTAAATGTCTAACTAGGCCCAATAAATGAAAAGTCTCTTCCTTAAACATGTTCGGATTGAAAATTTTAACCATTAATTACATGGTTTATTAATAACTTTAATTGTTTATAAAATTATTAAACTAATTTTCAAATGCATGATTGAATTAATGTAAATTATTTAATTTAATCATAAAGTCTAGTTAAAACCTAATCGCTTTAAATACTCTAAAGATTTTACCTAAAAAGAGGATATAAAATTTATTGCTTAGTTTTCAAACTGTTAAATTATATTTTATTTCTCTCCTAAGTAAGATTCATATATTTATTTTAATAAATGTATAGCTAAAATAAATAAATTATCCTAACCCTGAAATTATTGTAATGGAGATGGATATATTCTTCAACACAAATGTATTATTAAATTAAAATAACATTTCTTATTTTAAAATTATTGCGATTTAAATTTTTCATATACCTTAAACAACAAAATATATATAAAAATTCTACTCAAATATTCTAATCTCACAATAAATATATTTTTATCTATTATAAATATGCATAGTATTATAATTTATTTAGATGTAATGTAATGTATAAGTAAAAAATAATATATAATTGAAAAATGAAAAATTATGTTAAACGAAAAATCAAAACTAAAACAAACAAAAAATATGTATTAGACTGATATTTTAAAATATTACTATGTCGTGAACAAAATAAAGTGAATTTTGAAAGATTATATACAAATATAATAATTTATGAATTTTTTAAAAATAATTTTAGGATGAAGATTATTAAAATCTAAATGATATTTTAAAATAATTATATGAAATTTACAATGAGATTTTAAAATAAAAAGTTTTATAAGGCAAAAAAATTTGTATGGTAAAAGTATAATATAAAACAAAACTATATTTAAGTAAAAATAAAAAATAATAATAATATTAGTATTTTGTATTTAAAATATTAATTTTATGAAATTTACAATGAGATTTTAAAATAAAAAGTTTTATAAGGCAACCAAATTTGTATGGTAAAAATATAATATAAAACAAAACTATATTTAAGTAAAAATAAAAAATAATAATAATATTAGTATTTTATATTTAAAATATAACTTATATGTTTTATAAATGAGTTATTATTAACATATTATATATTATTATTAAATTAATGATAAAATAGGAACACAAACACAAAATTATACTAGATTACACACTAATAAAGAGAATCATTAACATCCATCCATGTATATAACTAAAACATCAAAAATTTTGAAATATAACTTAAAATAGTTATTTAGTTTTATCTGTATTTAAAAAATATAAATAATTTAATAAAATATATTTTTTATTTATGTCAAAACCAAATTTTATGATTATAATTAGTAAAACATTGACAGTATTGATATTTTTTATAATTAATTTATTTTAAAATATTATTTTATAAAATGTTTTATTTTTAATATACTCAAATATTTTTCCACTCTTTCTCTTTTTTCATACTAAGCTTTTACTATTTTTTAATATATAAATCATAATAATTATTTTTTCTTTAAATTATACTACTTTTATTTTTGTGGATGACACCAACACTTAATAACAGTTATAAAATGAATTTCTCTTTTCCATATAATTATATATAAAATTAAGAAATAATAATTTTAATTATAATAAATATTAATTATTTATTTCTTATTTTATTTATATATAATTTTAAATAAAAAATTAAAATATTTATAAAAATTATTTATCCATTTATCATCATAAATATTTGCATAATGTTATTACTCTCAAGTAATATTGAAATTATATCTTAATTAAAACATTTGTATATGTATGCTCAAAACTATCTTCCTTTCTCTTAATTTCTAATACTCCACAAATTGACATGTAATTATAATAAAACTATAAAATTAACTTATAGATCTACCATCTCAATTCTCTCATTTTTTTTATTTTTTATTTTTATTCATTCACTTATGAATTTTGTTAAATCTTAGAATAAATAAAAAACACACACTAATATTTATAAAATTAATTTATCTCTTAAATATAAAAATAATGTAATTAATTTTTGTAAGTTTTTTTAAACAATACGTTAATCTCGTCTACAATAATGAATTTTATTTTATAATTTATAAAATTAAAATATATTCAAACAATTTTCGAAAAACTCTGTTGTATTAAATCAAAATATCGATAAATGTTTAATTATAAATAATTAAAAAATGAATAATAATCTTATATATAACGGTAAATTTAGTTAAATAATTGATTTATAAATTTCTTATCAAATCATAAAAAATATATTAAAATAATAGAAAAATTTATAATGAAATACTTTAATTTATTTGTAATAAAATAATTTACATTTATATGTGTTTTCTATTATATTTATAAAATATTTTAAAAATAAAAATTTAGTTTAGTTTGTCGTTACATGGATAAATAGTTAAACAGTTCACAGATTTATTTTTTTTAGACATAAAATTTTTTAAAACATATGTTTATAAAATATTTCTCTAACGAAAAGGGTGAAGATAAAAAAATAAAAAATAAAAAATTCCTGTTACATGGATCTTTTATGTGATTCTGAATCTAAATTAACAAATGAATTAAATAAACTAATCTAATAAAAATATTTTATAGATATCCAATTGAATTTATATTAAAAATAAAAAAATAATAAAGAATATTAAAACAAATAATAATATTTTTTGCTTTATTTTTTAAAAATTTGAATCAATGGAGAAGAAAATAGAAAAAAATATTTAACAACTACAAAATGTGACGTATGTTTTTTTTTTTATTATAATGATATTATTTGTAACGAAGTTTTCTTCATGCATAGTAAAATTTTTCTTATATATGTGCATACAGAAACGGGGAGGAGGCATAATCTAAATTTTCCTCTCATCCTTCTTCTTCTTTTGTCTAAATTTCAAGCAACGATACTCTACTCGTGCAGGATATAGTGAAACGGGAGAGAGTTTGAATTAAGTGGGAAAGTTTCGGTAGAAATACCACACTAGATAAGGGAAAGTTTAATTCATTCAATATATGAAATTGAATTATTGGGTACTCTGTGAATAAGAAATAGGAGTAGAGATATGAATTATTTGAATGTCTGATTTTGAAGAATTTCTGATTCTGATGAACTGTTCACCGTTTGAAAGTTTTTGAAATTCTTAAAATTAAGGATGAATTATATGGTAAAATTGTTGTTTTCAACTTAAATTAGATATAATTCATGTTTAATTTGAATTTGGGACTAGTTTGGTTGTCTAAAACTGAGTAATTTAAAATCTGTTAATTGTTAAAAAAATTTGGGTCATGTATATATATGATACATAATTTAAATGTGTTAGGGTCATTATTTATTAAGCCAAATAATAAAGTGATCTGACTAAATTAAAGTTTTGGCTAAAAGAATATGTCATGAAAATAAAATTGTGTAGAGACCATAGAGCAATTTCTAATTTGATGAGGGGCCAAATTGGAAATACTAAAACTTAAGTAATTAACCTAATTCTGGTTATCTAAAGGGTCATGGTCCCCTTCTGAGAGCACACACACAGAACGTAAGTATCAGTCCCGTTCCTTTCTTTCTATCCCCATCAAGAGAGAAAATCAAGAGGGAAATACAGGTGCTCTTCAGGTGGAAGACCATAAGATCAATATAGTGCTCTACAAAGACATCATCGTTATGGCTAATTCAGGTACGCTTTCGCATTCAGTTTACAACATGTTTATCAGTATGGGATTATGTTTATGTTTGATTGTTAGAATCAAAATCAGGATTATTATTATTATTATTGATTTTCCAACAATTGGTATCAGAGTCGCCCATATTTGATTCATGTCTGTTTAATTTATAGAACCCTAATTATGAAAATTAGGATTAATTTTGTTTTAAACAATTCAGATTACCCAATTTTATGAACCTTAAGTGGAGGATAATCTCTAATTTTTATGAACCCTAAAATTTAAATTTGGGGGTAACATCCCCAATCTGATTCTGCTTGCTGATGAAACCGTGGAGGAAGCTTTGGATTCTTCTTCTTCTTCGTTTTTCACTTTTGTTTCAGTTTAAGTTTCAAGTTTTACTGAGAAAGAAACAGTGTTTCATATTTCAATTTTTCTTGTATTGGGTTCTCTGTTCTTTTTTTAATCTTTTTTTTATTTAATTTTATGGGTTTGGAATTGGGGGTGGTGTTTGTGGAGTTCCCAACACGGAGAATCTTTGGTAAATGATGAATGTTTCCACATATTTGGCTGTTATTATTTTATTGTCTCTATCCCCTAGGAATTTAAGGAAAATTTAATGTTAAATTAGGGTATGAGTGATTACTGTTTAATTCCCTTTTAGGGTTTAGAGCAGTATGCTAAAGAGACTCAGAACTATCTTTGTTTCATCCCTAGTGTGATTTTAGGAAGATGTTCATCCTTTATGTATTGGTGGGAAATGATGCCTTTTTTCATCCTTTGATTTGTTCAAATGA